TTGCATGATAGACGTGATGAAACTCTGTACAGCATGAGGCAATCCATGTTGGTCCTGTGGGGAACTCGGGTGCTGCTCCATCTGATGGTTATGCTGTAAGAATCCCTTCGAGAATACGCGGAAGGTCTCTTGGTTCTCCAAGGCCTGCTTTCTTATTTGACATCGCCATTTACACTTGACGTGCATTCCACTTTGCGGATGTTGTACAGTTGCAATACAATGATACTTGTATTTTACGCAGTTTTTCCCTTTTTCGGTACCATCTGCCTTGATACAATACTCGTCTTGGTAGTAGCCTCCATAATGATTAGATATTTCAGCTTGAGCATCCTTGAGTGAGTAACATGGTTTGCATTTCGCGTCTTCTATGAAATGGGATAGATTCCACAATTTCTTCTGCGTATGCTGCACTGTGGTCTGGTTTCCTACGTAGTGCATTCCTGTCGCAGCGAGTCCATTCTGCCTCGCTGGTACGTATCCTCCGATGGCGTGATACCTTTGCCAATGGAAACCATGTCGCCATTGAGTACTATTGTATTGTTGCGACATGTCTAGACTATTTTACGACTACCAATAGTGCTGTTCTCCACAACATTGTCTCCATTTTCCATCAACAAGAGGCAAGTGCTTGCATTGGGAGTTGTCCGATGGGAATTTTCGAAATTTGACTCCGCTTTCTAGAACATTCCGGTGTTGTTTCCAGAACCTTCTTTTCATACCCCTTCGAATCTACTCAATTGTGCGCTGGCCCACTCCATCTTCCACTAGCATTTGCTGTTGTCGGTGTTGAGTGAGTAATATTTGCTTTTGTTTGAAAGGGGCGCGAAGTGGAGGTTGCGTTGGCTCTGCCCAAATTTGGCCAGTTCGAACAGGATTGCGTGGCATGATCTTTTCCTCTCGATCGAGCCCGATTTTCATTCCTGGCTTCTTCTTCACCAAGCAGAGATTGCGACAATGGTGAGTTTTGCGTTGTTGTATTGTGCTTATTCTTGCTGTCATTTCCTTAAATTTCTAACCATTTGTGTGCGTACCTCTTTGCATCCACAGACCGTGTTCTGTTGGTTGTTGTTCTTTTGGTTCGTTCGCTGCAAGATCTTTCAAGTCCGACCCCTGCAAAGCATGCAAAACCTTTCCGACCTACTATCTTCGCTGTCTCCATTGCCTACATGACCACCTGCCGCCTTCTGGCAGCGGTGCTACCCTGAGTCGGTTCCTCGGATTTGGCGGCTACAAAACATTTTCGGCCTATTATTTCTATTATCTTCAGGATTCCTGCCTATCTGCACTGTCTTCCCTACCTGCCATGACCTGCATGACTTCCCCGCCGCTATTGTGCTCTTGCTTTTGGGGAGTTTCGAAGCTGCGTTTGTCCTCCGCTTGGTCCCTCTTGCTGGTGTTGCTTTCGCCATGGTGTTGGTGTTGGTGTTGGTGTTGGTGTTGGTGCTGTTGCCAACAACGGTGACTGCTTTTTCTGGTGTAAGTCCTTTCTTTCGTGACTCGACTGGCCTATTTTCTTTTGGTGTTGTCTTATACCCCTGTCTAACTCCGATTCTTTCCTTCTTAAATCTAACATGTTTTCTTTTTATGTGTTAGGGACTGGTCGGCCTCATGTGGGTCGCCAGAAGTTCCCGGGGTCCCAGATCGAATCGATTTTGCTTGGGCTAGCATAGGGCACGTGGCTTCACAACCAGTGAACACTCAGGGAGACCTTTATATTAAATCATCAGTACTCGAAGAAACTAAAGGGAACAAACATTGATTTATGCCATAGGCTCTATGCTATTCGCGGCTTGTTCTCTGAATGCCCCAAAGTGCGCCCAATCTTGGGTGGGCCGCCAGAGATCACCCCAGCCACTTTTTCCCTTCTGCGGATTGAATCATTCGACTCTGCCCAGGACGGTTATTGTGTATCCCAAAGCAACACCGCCAAGCAGATGAAAGAGAAGAACTCACAATAAAACAATCTATATCTCACAATTTTCTTCCACAATGCCTTATCTAATGAGCAGCATCCACAACGAGCCACTCGAGCCAATCTGGGAAGTGGGACGCCAGCTACCCGACGTGAGCAAGCTAGAAGATGGCACTGCGTTTGGAGAAGATCCCTTGGTCCAACTGACATAGGTGTCCTTATTGGACGACAGTGAAACTCAGAAAGAAGAAGATATTTCTACGCCATTATCACTAACCGAAATCAAGAATCTTACTCTGACGGTCCTATCGTGGGCATGTGTTATCTGCAACATTCAGCTAAGTATAGCCACCAGTCCCATGGTCACACTCTCCATTGGCGGCAGCACCCAAATTGCCGCTGTTCCACAAGGAGTCTTTTTACGTTTCAGCAGGTCTTGCCAGTGTCCTATTGACCACATGGATCTTTGACTACTTCCAACGCAGAGGAGGCTTCCTTATTGGGATTGGTTTGGGGTTGTTGGGAACAACCCTCAGTTCGATTTCGATTGCAGTGATTCAATCACCCTCGCTATTCATTGTGGCCAACGTCTTTTTTGGCTTTTCCATGGGGATTGGCTTTCATTTGCGATTTGCGGCAGTCGAAGTGGTTCCGGGACACTGGGCCTCGCGAGCCGTTTCTCTGGTCGTCTCGGGCGGGTGCATCGCAGCTTTTGCTGGACCCGAATCGAATCGGCACTGGCCACGAGAGACTTGTTTGGGACCACACCCGATCGTCAGTACCTTGGAGCAATGATGATGACGGGTGTTTTTAACGTTTTGAATCTCTGCTTTCTCTTGTTCATCCAGTTTCCCAATAGTACCTCCAATAGTACCTCCGAACAACAAGAGACACAAAAGCAACCCAGTGTATGGCCCGAGATCTGGTCCATCATCAAGACCAGAACCTTTTTGACCCCGATGGCTTCCATGACTCTTGCCTGGATCATAATGTCCGCGCCAATGACACTACTACGAGTTGCCATGCATGAAGTGGGATTCTCCGATCGTCAGTCTCTAGTTGGCATTGAGCTCCACTTCATTGGCATGTACGCACCTGGCTTCTTTGTGGGGGCTCTGATTCAACAATTTGGTCCCCGTTGCATGACGGCCTCGTCGATTCTGCTTTTTGCAGCCGGCATTGCCACCCTTCAAACGGCGCAAGGCAACGATGAAAGTGGTGACATGCCGGAAGCCGTGTGGTTTGTGGGCATGATTCTCATGGGTGCGGCCTGGAATGTGGGCTTTAATGGTGGGACCGTTTGGCTCACACAATCCTACCGAGAAGCGCCGCAGCTCAAATCATCCATTCAGTCTGCCAATGACCTGCACCGGGGCCTTTGTCGCCAGTACTTCCTTCTTGTACCGTACGAAGCGGGTGGGTCGCAACTACAGGGTTGGCAGGCTGTTCACTGGATCGCCTTGGAACTTCTGGGCGTCTTTGTCGTACTGCTACTTGTCGACGCCATTCTAGTGCAACGACAACGGAAAGTTTCAGCTGTGACAGCCACAAACGAATGAGTCTAGTGGAAGCGGATCACTTCCATGTCTTCAAACATTGCTTAGAGTTTTTGAATCGAATCTTTTCAAATATGCACACATTACCTAGCTAGGCATTATGTACCCATGAATGTCACTGGGGACTGAGGAGTTCAATGCCACACCAATTTTATTAAGACAATCCTTGTCTACAGCTTTAGGCTTCAGCACAATCACAGAAAGACATCCACAGCAAAGATATTGCCAAGAACCACTGCTATAATCATACTTGGAAGGGTTGTAATCCGCTTGCGGGCAGGATGTAGAAAGGGGGCTTGTCCTCATCCATGGCTGATCACAACCAAGTCATCTTGGAGGCTGCCTACCGGTATGCACCATAGATCGGGCCTCCCCAACTTGGCAAGCACACAAATCGTGTTGGAATGCTACTGCACCGTGAAACATTGCAGTGGCATCAGTGCATCAGTCAATGAGCTCAGGTTGCACTCAGATAGGTCCTGATCAAAGCTACTTGTGGCATTCAAGAAGATTTGCTTGATGCATTCCGGATACAATCAACTGTTGTATCGCATACTAGCTAGTACTATGCAAGGTTTCTCGATCCAGCCCTCCAATCAGCCAGTTTAGCTACTTGTATGCTGACCTAGTAGCCAACAGAAGAGTCACTACATGGTAGCAAAACCAGTCCCTAGTTGGCAATCTACTAGCGGTTGTGCTGGATCAATTCGATTCGATTCAAGCGGTCCAATTGGGCATGCGGCGACAAACAAATACATGTAATAATGCAGCCGCGGCATTTCGAAATTTGCGATTTTCAGCTCGTAAATCGCGACAGAAGAGGTCAAATACATGTAGGGTCTACTGTCTACTGGACCTCTGTGGAAATTCGAGTTGTGCTACTGATCGTCTCCTAAATCCTTTTGATCGTCTCCTATTTAATGGATTTCGTCTCCTAAAAATAGGAGACGAAACGGATCGTCTCTTAAATCTTTCGTCTCCTCTTGAATCGTCTCCTATTTTCAATTGATCATCTCCTATTCTCAACGGATCGTCTTTTAAGTGCACCATGTAAACTGTATGGTACTGTCTCCTAAAGCTTTCGGATCATTTCGAAACGATCGTCTCTTAATTGGAATGTCTCCTACTGAATCGTCTCCTAAATATAGGAGACGATTGCTTTCGTCTGTTAAATCCTTTCAATAGTCTCCTATGCCACGGAGTCACGGAGTATCGTCTCTTTTTAAGTATGTTTCCACGAATGATGTTTCCACAGAGGTCCTGGAGTATCTGTTATACTCTTTCCCGCCGCGGCAACGTGGCGCTTTTTCGGTGTCTTCGCAATTGCCCGGACGGCGAAGAAGAACTTAAGAACAGCTCAAGAACCTCCCTTCTCCAAACCGGTAACCGGTAGGAGCCTTCAAGCTTCAAGAGTCTTCAAGAATTAGTCCACAATCGCAAGACACACCGACACACCTTCAGACCTTTGAGGGATCTCCGATTGAACAATAGTCTAATTGTCGGGTTCCAGCTGTTGCTTTGGCCTCGTACAGTCTAGCTAGTTTGCGTGTGATTCCATATTCCATGCGGTACTAAATAGTAGACTACTAGCTAGCTAGCTAGATGGATACAGCCTCAAAGCTCCCTCAAGCAGTCCTACCGGTACATGAAGTCCATACCTCACCCTTGCAATTGAGACTTACCTGGACTGTCAGCATCCTGGCTTTAGTACCGATCGCTAGGAGGCAATTGGTAGCCTTCCTATGGTAGCTAGCAAGCTGGCTCCAGCCAGCTAGCCAGCTACTAGCTAGTAGTATGTGTTCCGCTTTTGGTGGGATCGGGAATACCGTTACGTGAATTAGGGTTAGGGCTAAAAAGTGTGACAGGCCACAAAGAGACAAACATCCAATTCACAATGGCCCCACATCCCTTGACGCCTATTCTATCATTCTATCTCCTCAAGCCCCGATATCCTGCAAATGAACCCAATGATATTCATTGATTCTATTAAGCTAGCTAGCCATAATAGTAAACTGTAGACTATTACAATTGTGGATGCAGATTAATTCAGTCTCCACGAGACTGAAAACTAAAGGCCTGCATCCAAATGAGAATGTTTACGGATGCATTCCTTTGCAGTACGAAAGTTTTCTGGGAAGTAAGATCAAAACATATGACAGGGATGTCGCGATGTCGCTTCTTTCCTCCAGTACTCCAATTTGGACCATCTACATGTATGATATCTGTTGCAAGCCTTGCTGCAACCTTTTACAATGCCGGTGCCGTACCTGCCAGCTTGACTGCTGATGTGCATGCCCTGCAGACTAATACTCGAAATAATAGAATATCAGAATATCTACTGAGTAGACTAGTCTAGTAGCTCTAGTAGTAGACTGCACATGTTGTGGTCTAGTAGACCTCTAGCTATGCAGCACACCCAGGTGCACAGGGGGAGGAAGCAGGAAGATCACCCAAGAACTCTGCACATGTACATGACATTGTAACATTTAAATTTTATTTAAAGGTTGATTTTTCACTTTTCCCTTGAGTGGCGACGACTACTTCCGTGGCCAAAGGGCTTATTAACACTGTATCCATCATGAGTCTGGCTAGCCAGCTGTTCTGAGTATTCTTTTTGCAGGCCTCCACCTCCACCTCAACTGCCCCACGTGAAGAATTCCAATAGATTGAATGACTCATCTATCTATGATGGCAGGAACTGCCTCAAGCTACCGGTACAGTTTGTGGTAGCTCCTCGATTAGAGCGCTGGAAGTGCCAACTGCCCCACATATAAGTATACAAAAGACATGAAAGGAGCTGTATGAAAGGTCCCCTCCGCGTTCGTCACACCCTCGAATTACCCGTCACGCTCTGACCGGATAGGTCCGGGTAGTAGGTAACTGTTGGTCACCGTTCCACAATTAATTTTCTCCGAACAAGCAGGTCGTTGCCCACTCATTGCTTCTAGCTGGCTACTACTAGCTAGACCAATACCGCTAGCTAAGCACCTCACCTTGCTTTGACCATGGCCAACACCACCAAGAGCACTGGTGGCACCACAGAATCCACTGCTAGTCTTTCCGCCTACCATGCAGCGCTGCTTCTGAACTTGGAAGCTTCCCGCGCCGGTAGATCACCCGCGAGTGCTGGGGGTTCTGCCGCAAGTAGCACTACTACTAGTCAAGGCAGCGGCAGCCAATCTCCTACTAGCACCCGTACTACTACTACTAGTGCCAGGGGGGCTTCTTGGTCTTTTGCAAGATGTTCCGGAAAAGCTGGTGAAGCGCAGAGTACTGGTACCAGTAGTGGCAGCAGCAAGTCTTGTACTAGCAATGCCGTGTGGTTTATACGGTCAGTCTTTTGGTGCAGTCTACTCTGGATTGCCATTCTGCTAGGTAGCCTTAGCGTGGTCATGATTGGAAACAATGAGCAAGCTCTGGCAGAACGGCAGTGGGAAACCGTATCCTCACGCTATCTTGCCGCAATAGAGCAATCCTTAAGGTGTCACGAAGGTGCTGCCAAGAGCCTAGCTAACATGGCAGCGCAGCAGCAGTCACGCACTGCTGATTGGCCCCACGTAGTTCTACCTGGCTTTGAAGACTTGGCACAACAATTTGGCGAGGGCCACTGTGGTGGGGGAGCCAAATTCTCCTTTGCGCCCATGCTGCAGGCCAATTCCACGCAACTCTTGTTGGACTTGCAAACTAGTTTTGAAAGCTTTGCCTACCAAAACCTTGGTGGTGGTGGCTACCAGGACCAAGCTGCTCCCCTGGGTATCTGGAAGCTTCAGGATGGTACTGGTAGTGCAAAAGTCCTTGATGAAGGCAACGATAACGAGCCTTTGTTCCCCCTCCTTCAAACAAACACAAGACCGTCCGATAATGACTTGTTTCTTTGGAACCTTCGCAGTGACCCAGTCCTTGCCGAGGCTCTTGACGAACTCATGGAGTGCACTGAGGCAAGGAAGCAATCGCACAACGTCACTAGTAACGACATGTCGTTGTCGACCAGGTCCTGTGAGATTGAGGTCAGCTCGATTTCTCAGCAAGATCGACGGTCCTATCTGCTCGTACCAGTGTACCCTCAAGACGACCCATCACATCTCGCCGGTGTCATTCTTGCCGAAAGTCGTTGGGATGGGGTGCTGGCAAACGTTATGGAAGACGGACTCTCCACAGGAATCACCATGTCCTTGCAAGCAAAGAACAAGAGCAATGACAGAGAACGTCCGCAAGAGGCGTTTTGGTACTCGGTCAACCGCAGTGGATCAGTCGTCTTTCGGGGGCAACCGGCTCATCCGGGCCACTTGTCAACAGACCCAAAGTTCCATTCCCGCCAACGATCCATCGAGCTCAGAGTTGCATCATCTGAAACAGCGCCAGCGCCAGCATCATCGTCATATGTCCTGACACTCTATCCCAATCGCGAGTTCTGTGACACCTACAAGACCAAGAACCCTCAAGTCAGCAGCATTGGGGCCGTCCTCATTGTAGTCGCCATGTCAATTCTGTTTTGGCTATATGATTACTTTGTTCGCAAAGAGTTCAACTCAAAGCAACAACTTCTCGAAGCTAAACGATATTTCATGCGCTTTGTATCTCATGAAGTCAGGACGCCTCTCAACGCTGTCTGTTTGGGTCTGGCCCTCCTCAAGGAAGAGCTCGACGACGCCAACGCGGCGCAAGAGCCACCCTGCAACAAATTTTCATCCTCCACTTCCACTTCCCTCTCCTCCAGCATCAGTTCGTCATCATCTACCCCTGATGTCGAATCCTTTTCCGGCCTCGTCAACGACATTTGCGACTCGGCCGAATCTGCTGTCCAGGTACTCAATGATCTATTGCAGTACGACAAGATCCAAATGGGAAAATTCACCATGGAAAACACCGTCATCTCCATCGTCGACCTCGTACAAGACATTTCCAAAGAGTTTCGGCTCTCTGCCCGCAAAAAGAACATTGCAGTGACCTTGGATACCAGTCCCATGACGATGATGCGAGAAACAACAAGCCCGGATAGCAAGCGTCGTTGCGACGAGGAAATGGGCCCATTCCATTCCCCACAGGACTTCAAAGTTGTGGGAGACAAGATTCGAATCACTCAGATCCTTCGAAACTTGGTTTCGAACGCCGTCAAGTTTGTCCCCGAACAAGGTAAGGTTTTGTCCACCATCGGCCGGCTGAAACTTTGAAACACGCCCGTGGCCCCACACGCTCATCACCCTTTTGTTTCATTTATTGCTCTGCCTGCAATTACCATACCGGTAGGTCACATAACCCTCCGACTCTCCTGGGTTCCAAACTCGAACACGACAAGCCGCAGCCCACGCGGGAATAAGGGATGTGACGCCAGTTGGCACGAACGATATGCCACACTCCTGCAGCATCGAGGCGATCATGCAGAGCCGCGCAACAAGTATGATAGCTACACTCTCAAGTCCGGCCAAGAAGTGAGCTACGAACGGCAGGGTATGCTCCACCTTGATGTAATTGATACCGGGGCTGGAATGACCCCTTCTCAACTTAAGAAACTCTTCCAAGATGGCGCCCAGTTCAATGTGAATGAGCTACAGGCCGGACAGGGAAGTGGCTTGGGGCTATTCCTCAGCAAGAGTATGGCCCAGCAGCACGGTGGAGAGCTGTCGGCGGCATCGCAAGGGCTCGGGAAGGGCACCACCTTTACATTCACGTTGCCCCTGTACTTTATTGAAAGCGAAAGTTCTCGTGATACCATCTCCAAGAGTATTCCTTCTTCCGGCAGCACCTTGTGGAAGGGGGCGTCTACGACTGACAGATGTAGTGAAAGCGACGAAGGACTCGACAGTCGTCCAACGATCCGTATGAATGGAAGATTAACTCCGGAACCCCACAACGAGCACGCAAAGATACCCACGAGCACATTGTCAACTGATCCGGTGGTTGACCAGAGCCACCAAAACTGTTCCACACTACCATCCTGTCAACCAACTCCAGCCAAAACACTTCCAGTTTTGCCCGGAGCAGTTCCCAATGCTGCGAAATTGGCACCGCAGCCACAACTTCGAATCTTAGTGGTCGACGATGTGCCATCGAATCGAAAACTCTTGGCCCGAATGGCTCGTAACCGAAAGCACAATGTGGATGAAGCCTACGATGGCCAGCATGCTGTTGAAAAGGTGATGGAGTCCTTAGCTGCAGACCAGGAAAAGGGCGCAGCTAACCCCTACCAGGTGATTCTGATGGATTTTGAAATGCCACGGCTGAATGGACCAGACGCAACTCGTCGCATTCGCGAAATGGAAGGATGCCAAGACATGTTTATAGTTGGCGTAACGGGGAACGTCCTGGCAGAGGATGTGGCTCGCTTTCTGGACAGTGGGGCCGATCATGTTCTTCCCAAACCGGTAAAATTCCCAGCATTGGAAGCTCTGTGGAAAGACAAGTTCCCCACCTCTGGTGCAGCTGGCAAACTCCACAACAAGCACGCAAAGATACCCACGAGCACATTGTCAACTGATCCGGTGGTTGACCAGAGCCACCAAAACTGTTCCACACTACCATCCTGTCAACCAACTCCAACCAAAACACTTCCAGTTTTGCCCGCAGCAGTTCCCAATGCTGCGAAATTGTCACCGCAGCCACAACTTCGAATCTTAGTGGTCGACGATGTGCCATCGAATCGAAAACTCTTGGCCCGAATGGCTCGTAACCGAAAGCACAATGTGGATGAAGCCTACGATGGCCAGCATGCTGTTGAAAAGGTGATGGAGTCCTTAGCTGCAGACCAGGAAAAGGGCGCAGCTAACCCCTACCAGGTGATTCTGATGGATTTTGAAATGCCACGGCTGAATGGACCAGACGCAACTCGACGCATTCGCGAAATGGAAGGATGCCAAGACATGTTTATAGTTGGCGTAACGGGGAACGTCCTGGCAGAGGATGTGGCTCGCTTTCTGGACAGTGGGGCCGATCACGTTCTTCCCAAACCGGTAAAGTTTCCAGCATTGGAAGCCCTTTGGAAAGACAAGTTCCGCGCCGCTGGTGCAGCTGGTAAGCACCCAAACTCATAGAAAGGAGGCTGAAGCTAGCTGGCTATGTATATAGGAGCGATGTAAATAGAAGCTAAAGCAGCATGTACAAACTACCACACTATACTCTGTCCCTGCTCTCAGTCCAGCTAGCTAGTAGCATCGGTTTTGGTAGAGCCATGAATCCAGCCAGGGAGTTTCAAGCCCAGCCCGGCCGCTGGTGGCGAGAGCAGGCTAGATTCTGGAAACATTGAATACAGCACCAGCCTCCAACTTGCAAAAACTTCATCTGGCAGTTGCAGTGGTGCTTCTGGCCTCTGAGGAACTAGCTGGCCACTAGCTAGATAGAAGGAACGACTAGCTGGCCCTAGCTAGCCAGCTCTAGAGCCAGATCTCTTAGAGAGGTCCAAGATGTCTCGAGAACGAGCTAGCAGCCAGTCTAGCTAGCTAGGTTGGCAAGTAGACTGAGTGATCACGAAGTGTATTGGGGCCTTGACAGAGTGGTGGAGGGTGGAGGACGCAGAGTTGATCTCTGTATTGGACTCTATTGACTCGACTCAAAAGCCACTTCTTGACTCTTGACCCGACTCGACAGCTGCAGTCGTACTGTACTGTACTCGACTCACTAACTTTCCACTAAGTCTTACCACTGTCCGCACTACTGAGCTTCCGCATTCCGCACTACATGTACTTCCGCATACTGGTGTGGCACAGAGAATAAGAAGCAGTTGCCGGTTGAGTTTCTGTTTGTTTTCAGATGGTGCAACTCGAGACTATGGCCTCCTCGGTTGAACACGGAAAACTGAGGCTGTTTTCAATGACGGCAATGGCCCAACGCACATATTAATAGTATCAGTAGCTTTTCGTACCTACAGTACCACCAGTTTGGTGGTGGCACTGGACTAGTAGTATCTGTGCCGGAACGGAACCTGAATAAAGGAAAGAGAAGTGATAGAGCTGTGCTCGTAATGGTTCTCAAGAAATCAAATCCTGACCAGAACAATGACTTTCTGGGTAACGCTTGATTTAAGATAGTCATTCTGTAAGCAATGTGAGCGTCACGAACCTGTAGGATGCATGCATGCTGGTTTTGGGATGCTGGGTAATGAAGTATATCAAAGTATTTAGATCAATGTTGCAGTCATTTTCTGATAGTTGTAAAAAGTGATCACCCAATGATAAAACGGTTGCTGGGTTTATCTTGCCATTTAAGTCATAGTTGTAGTAGGGTTAGTTTTCAGAATGCGAAACAAAAGGTCATAATGAAGCGGAAACCCTACTTGGTGGTTGGTTCATCATCTAGTTGTAACATGAAAATGTCCATGACACGGAATGTTCGTGTTGGTTGGTAGTAGTTCAGTGGTTTGTTTGTAAGCCGTGATTAGAGCAGTTTGGAGAAGGTTGAGGCAGGGAAGTGAACGTTCGCATTTAACAGGTGCCTGAGTGAAGTATAGATGAATGACAAGACTGGTAAGAGGTCATTAATAAATGACTTGTATTGAAATATCCAAGTATCCAATCTACATAGTTTACTGTATCAATGGTAGACTTTTTGCTGCAACCAGGAAGAACAACCACTCTGCATGCAGAGCTGCATGCAGCATGTCCCAGTGCCACCACTGGCGAGATAATTGATGGCCGCTGCTGCCAAGCGACCCGGCATTTGGATTTTGTACCTGGCATTGCATACCAGTAGAGGAGCGACACTTCAGAAACCAAAATACAAGCAGAATAGAAGACTGCCCCATCCATCACATCCACCTCTCACAATCTCTCAACTGAGAATCGGTAAAGCAACCAAAACACTACCTAGCTAGTAGCAACACTACCAATCTCTACTATTTTTACAAGTCGACCATGACCGCCGCTGCCGTTACTGTTCTCCCCCATCAACCGTCTCTATCGGTACCGTTGGATTCCTCGTTAAAGAAGAGAGGTACCAGTCCTACACGATCCACTACTGGCAGTACCACTGGCAGCGACCGCAGCAGTGAGAAAGAAGCCTCGCGCCATCGTCGCGCTTCATTCGTGTCGCTCCGCCATTTGAGCAGTTCGTTCAGCAAGACGCGCTGCAGTCACAATCGCAAAGTCTCTTTTCAACTGGAAGACATGAGTCAATACCCACTTCCCCCCATTGAGGACGATGTGCGTCCATTGCTCTGGATGACGTATTTGGACAAAGTGTCGTCAGCTGATGACGTCGAAGAGACGTGCTACAATTTCAACGACACCGATTTCGTCCATCCGTATGTCCAACAGTTGGATCAAGTGTGGGATCAATGTGCAAGTCCCAAGGAACCCAAGCCGTTGCATTTGGAACAAGAAGATCTCACCAAGCTCGTGTCTGGCAAAGGCCGTGGTTTGGAAAAGAAGTTGTTGAGTGACATGAAAAAGAACCGCGAAACCATTGTCAAGCAAGTCTTGGATGCCCAAAAGAGTTATCGCAACTTGCCCATTCGCGCCGATCAAAAAGCCAAGATGCTCAAGAACAAGTACAAGAAACTCACTACTCAATCCAAGGTCTTTGCGCTCACACTCGCCAAGGGGGATGCTCAAGTTGCGACCAAACTATACGGAAACACCATTGCGGCCACCTCGGCTTAGCTACTCTAGCTATTGAGCTAGCTAGGTGGTATTTGGGGTGACTTACCATGGGGCCTCCTCTTCTTGCATTCAACATTCTTGTCTTCTCGCTTCCCGCTTCCTTATCAATAGCTTCATTTATGACACAGCATACACTACAAGTTCACTACTAAGTTTCAATAGACCACTTTCATATCTAAACTCTTTTTTACGCTTCTAGCTGGCTAGATAGGAACCATACTAGCTATGCGTTGGGTCTGCACCAGCAGCCAATGTTGTTGTCCGCGCTGGTTGCAAGCCGGTTGCAAGCTGGAAGCTAGATTGGCCAATGCAGGCAGAGGTTGGATGACAACTAGGGCTGGCTGGCCAGCAAGCTCCTCGATGGATGATCTCCCCAGTATCCAATGATGTATTGCCACAAGCATGGGCTCTCAAAGGACTAGTGGCAGCCAGACAACTCCCAACAATCTTGCTTGTTTGGAAGGTGGAAGGTACAGGTTGTGCTGCCTAGTCCTGGAGTCCGCTGCCTGCTTTTTGCCTGAACGCAGCTGCCTTCTGGTGGAGCAACTGAGTCTCGAGATGGAGCAACTCAGTCTTTTGGAGAGCGAAGCCGACCGAGAGACTCCCCAGGACGCACTCAGCCGTGTCTGCTGCGGACATGACCCATTGGGGGGCACTTAATCCAAGACGCCGCCGACACAGCTGTCGCTCGTCATTGGACGCCTTGCTTCAGCGGTCTGTGCTGCAGCACGACGTTGTCAGGAGCGAGTTTGTGATCCGATCCGACTTTGGCCTTCATTCACCTACGGTACTACCGTATGTAGCTAGCATCCTTGCACCGATAGACGTCAAGGGTTCGATTCATTGCATACACGGCGGGATACCCCAGCTGCCACCGATACCGTAAGAGGAGTCAAGAGCAAGGCTTCGTAACAAAAACATTAGTATTTCTACAGTACACAGGTAACATTATAGTCTCAAAATCGGACCTGAACCTTGGCCGTGAAAGCAAGAGCACAGCACATCACAGCAGAGCAACGACGACCAGGTCTTCCCTTTGTATCGTCGAGTCCGTCCATGCCATGCATTGCTCATGATCCCGGCAGGTCAAGCCATAAGAGCCATGCAGCTGGTTCGACCCACCACCACTTGAACAAGGCAAGGCAGAGCGTCGATTGATCATATCATATTCATAATACAGGTATACACAGTATTCACACCCTTGGTCACGGTTTTGACTTTGGACTGTTCGTCAACAATATACATTCAATGATTCCCAAAAAACTGTTTGTGTCGTCTCACGCACGATACGGTACGGCACCATGCATGCTAGTAGCAAAAGGCCGCTGACGCTGCAAGTACTGCAGCCGCCATGGTTGGTCCAAAGCTGATCGCGGCAGAAACGCCCTCGTCGGCTTCAATCACCCCATCGTCATTGCCTTCTTCGTCAACAGAGTCATAGGTCCCGTTGCCCATCATCGTGGAGTTCTTCATTTCCATCTCGTCGGTACTATCGGCAACGACAAAAGTCGTGCAGGCGAGGGCCAACAAGAGGACAAGGATCAGTTTCTGGACGACGGACTTCATTATTGCTTAGTTGCGATGTTCGTGCTTGGGTTGTGTTATGTTGCGTTGCGTTGCGTTCGAGTGGGAGCGGGAGTAAACGGTGAGATTACGGCAAGGAGAGCACTTTTGATGTAGGATCTTTGGCGAGAGTAGGAGAAAAGAACTGTGTGACAAAACTAGATTGTTGGGTGTTTTGGAAGCAGCCAATGAATGATGTTGGTTGCGGCTAAAAATATCAAAAAGTTTTCTCCTCCATGCTCCACCAAGAGCAGACGTTGAGCCTCTCAAAAATTGACCCTTCAACCTCGATAGTGCAAAATTTTGAGTTAAGAGCCAACTAACGGCATTTCGCCTGAATGAAGACTAACGGCATTGCTCGATGTCGTCAGGAACCGTGTTTGAGTTGTCGCCTTGGTACGATTAGTACTCATTCTACGTGTCTTCTTGTAGGAACGCAAGCCCAATGATTGTCACTCGAACTGTGACTGCCCTGCGTTCCAGAACCTTCCTCACGTCAAATAATAAACACTCACCACGAGCCCCAAAAGGCAACCCCACGGGCACACGATGCACACATCAAGAAGCTTGCTTGCTGGATTCATCATTCATTCGGAAGACCCAAATTTCTCTGCAAGATCAATGACAGTTACTTATAAAAGACTTCGCAAAAATTTCGGAGACCACTTTTCTCTCATAAATTGAGAAAGAAGCCACGTCCATCGTACGTCGTCTTGAGGTTTTATTTGCAAGAACCCACTACCAAAGTACCTTTCCGGTTGGAGGCAGCGCACCAATTCTACTTGGTAGCATATATCTTTTTCAGCTAGCTAGAACGCAAAAATGAAGGTCTCAACATGGATGCTAGTACTCTGTCTCTTGCTCGGCCTGGCCTCTCTGGATACCGTAATGGCCCAGGGCGGAAAGAACGACAAGGGCGACAAAGGAAAAGACAAGGACGACGAAGACGAGGACATGGATGAAGACGAAGACGAAGTCGAAGCTGCTGTCGAATTCGAAGGCGAAGTTGTTGTAGAAATGGACAACTCGACAATGACAGAAGATTTGGAAACGCTCAATGACCTCGGTTGTCCCGGCTTGGACTTTGATGCTGATTGCGAGGCTTGCTTGGAAGCTGGCTGCGTTATGACCGTAGGCGACTGCTTGGCGGACTGCAGCGTGATGGACGTTGCTTGCTGGGATATGCAGTACCATCCAAACAAAACGGCGGCCGATGTTTGTCTCATCATGACACAACAGGAAGCCGATGCGGCTATTTGTGGTACGAGCAAACGATTGGCGGAGACGGCAGAAATTTTTGAAAAATAGCTTGAACGGAACCGTCTACCTAACGAGACTGAATTGGAATTGTCGTACGTCTGATGCATCTCATGTCATTGCTTTTGGTTTTTTGCTATTATTTCCCCAGGCGATCCCGAAGTGCAAACTTGCGAAACTTGTACCTCCACTGTGAGATCCGATGGCGAATCAACTTGTGGTTGGTACGAAAGCTATTGTGATACACACCTAATCCGGCGCTGTACTTCGGAGATGGCTAGCCAATGCTAGCTAGTGGGTGCATGATGCATAGATCTATTAATGAGCCTCCTGTTCGTCGAATAGATGCTCCTCTAATACATGAGTTTTAAATTTATTTATTTATGGTCTTATTCCTTTCCCATTACGATTTTCCTTGGATTATGAATGGCTTGGTTGATTATGCATGAATGCTAAATAATATAAACGCGGGCTGGCCTGCCGCAAGCAAATCTGACAACAACTAGCTCAACTAGTAAGAAACTGCTTCATGGAAAGCAGAGCTGAAAAAGCCAGGAGAGTAACGACCGTCTGTAGAAAGGAACCGTCCGCAGCGTCACTTGTGGCACCATTCGTTGTCTCGTCGCTTGCTGCTCGGTTGACTTCAAGGTCGGTGGCATCGACTTCTGAGGCAGCACAGATTTCCGGCCCAGTCATGTTCAAAAACTCCGGCTGGGATGGATGGTAACAGGTCTCATCCTGGATGACTTGGCAAGACGCCGGAGTAAGGCAAGTACCCGACACCCAGGCACAATCAATACGGCTATTGAGGCATGGTTCGCAAGATTGGAATCCCGTGCAGGGGCCGCCAGTTTGCCATCAAAGGCACTTCCTCGTAGTGTTGGCAATGGCGCAAATCTCGGGTCCGTGAGGTTGGCAAAGTTGCTCGGATGGTAACAGGCCGCATCCGCAATGACATCCAGCTTGGTTCGCAAGAATCGGCGATCCAGCGCACTCAATGCGGGAATTGAGACACTGTTCACAGCCAGGAAGATTGTTGCAAGGGTGGACATCCACCACGGATGGTTGCACAGTAGCAGTAGCGGGCATTTCATCGCAATTTCATCCATTTCATCAACTTCGGTTGGTGCTGGTGTTTCTTGAGTCTCAAGTTCAGCAACCTCCTCAGCCTCTGGTTCGGTCTCAGTTTCCTCTTCCGGCTCTGTTTCTTCCATTTCCGGTTCTGGGGCAGGTCTGTCTCGGGTTCTTCCATTTCTGGTGCTGGCTCTTCTCTCTCTCTTCTCTCACTGTCCTCCTCCTCCTCAGGTGCTCGGTTCTTCCTCTCCTCGGGCATTGTCTCTGGCTCACATGTATCCATTGGACAGTTCCTTGGAAGTCACACGCATCACC